AGTGTCTTGCTCTTTGCCCAGGCTGGAGTGCAGGGCACAATCTTGTGCCAGAACCTCTGCTCTGGGTTCAGGCGATTCTCCTGCCTCAGGCCTCCAGAGTAGCTGGATTATAGGTGTGTGTCCCATGCCTGGCTAATTTTCGTTATTTTTAGTAGAGATGGCGGTTCACTGTGTTGGCCAGGGTGGTCTCAAACTCCTGACCTAGTGATCTGACAGCTCAGCCTCCCATAGTGCTGGGATTACAGGATGAGCTGCTGTGCCTGGGCAAAAAAAATCTGGAAAAGCTAACTGTGGGCAAGGTTGTGGGGCACAGATACTCTGCTGTTGGCATGTTTCTGTGCTGTGGACTGGCTGCACAACCCAGTCGTGCACTTTGGCTTGGGAATCTGTTTTTGGAGTTATCTGCAAATGGAGAAAAGAGTATTTGACAAAAATCTTTAGCATTAAAACAAATGGGAGGTGGGTAACAAAAGGAAAGGTGTTTCCTGCTGTGGGGGGGACACCGGCCAGGCTGGGCACTGGTTAAAGCGGCTGGGGTGCGCATTAGGGGTGCACCGTGGGCACTGGTCTCCCGCCCACAGAGGGGACAGAAGTGGAGAATGAAGCTCAGCCTGGGCTTGCGTCCACAGTGATCAACACTGTCAAAGTGGAGTTATGAAGTGGGACACAGATTTTTGTCCTCAGTTGCTTTTTCTCCCTGTCACCATGGTTGGTTAAATATCAAGCAGAGTACAGCCATCCCTGTGTGCGAGATGACGCTCGAGGGTGGGGGTGGAGGGCGAGGCCAAGGACCTGGGTGGGGTGCCAAGCCTCTGTCCCTGCCCCGGCCCAGGTTAAACACTGCATGCGTGAGCTTGACGACACCCGCGCCTCTCGCGAGGAGATCTGGCCCAGGCCAAAGAGAATGAGAGGAACCTGAAGAGTGTGTGAGTGGCCGAGATGATCCACTTGCACGAGGTGGGTGGGGATGGCAGTGGAGAGTGGCACTGCTGCCCTGCAGCTAGCAGGTCGCAGCACAGGGCTTCAGCAGAGGGCTAGGGTCTGACTCAGCTCTCCTGTTACAAAAGGATTCCCTCCAGGGTTCCATTACATAGTGGGCCTCCCTGGTATGATGAGATTGTGTGAGTGAAATGCCTCACATCAGATGAGGCTCCGTGGCTGCCACCACCTGCCGTGACCGATGGAGGGTCTCAGCATCCCCATAGCTGCCCTGTCCATGTCGCACCTGAGCCAGTCCTGAAGTGTTTCCGGGTCTAGAGGGTGCCCTGCAGTGTGACTTGCCGGGTTGTGACTGCGTCCAGGGTTGTAGTAGTCTCCTGCCTGCAGGCTCTGGAGCTGACTCCAGACTCTGGCTACCCTGAGCAGCAGGGCAGCAGTGAGCGGGCTCTGTCCACGTGTCTGCCCTGCTTAGGCCAGGACACTTGTTAGTCATCACACACCCTGGCACCTGGCTTGATTCCTAGCACTTAAATGTAGTTCAGTTTTATGAACATACAATGCTTTTCAACTATGACTTTAGGGGGGCCCCAGCCCTGTGAGCTCGAGGAATCCTGGAGGAAGAGCTTTCTGGGGAGGTGGGGCTGGGAAGGGCTTGAGAGGAGGGTTGCCCAGGGCTGGGAAGGATGGTCTTGTGGGGCTGTGGCTGCCTTCAGGTCACATTCTGGATCTCTGTGGCAGGAACTGGCAGCCACGGAGCGTGCCAAGCGCCAGGCCAGCAGGAGCGGGACGACCTGCTCGTGGACCTGGACCACCAGAGCCAGATAGTGTGCCACCTACAGAAGAACCAGAAGAAGTTTGACCAGGTGTGTAGCCATCCACCCCATCCTTTGCATTTTCTCTCCTTCCGGCACTCAGCCCAAGGCGAGGGCCTCATCAGAGAAACCCTGGGCTCCCTTGAGACCTTGCCCGGGAGGGGTCGTGCGGGGCCAGCACTTAGAGGACCAGCACTTGGGGAGAAGGCCAGCGGAAGAGGGTGTCTTCATGCAGTGGGTTGAGGAGGAACTTTTCCTTTCTGGGTTTTCATGTTTTTTTCAGATTTTCTATAATGAACTGGTTTTCCTGTCATTTAAGCCATTTATTTGTGCATCCATGTTGCTTCCTCATTCCAAAAGATCTGCGGGAAGCTGAGGGAGATGTGAACACCGGGGCGGGATAGACATCGAGCATGGAACTGCGGCGGCCGGGTCCAGCCCGCTGCGTTTTGGGGAGAAAGCTGCATCGAAACGCACACACACACTGTCGTTCTTGTGTTGTCTCTGGTTGTTGCGCTGTGGTAGTGGGGTTGAGTTTCTGCAGACTGTGGGGCCTGTATACTCTAAAGAATGCACTCTTGACTGGGCATGGGATTATATGCCTATAAGCCCAGAACTTTCGGAAGCCGAGGTGGGCGGCATCACCAGGTCAAGAGTTCGAGAGCAGCCTGGCCAACATGGTGAAACCCCATCTCTACTAAGAATACAAAAATTAGCTTGGGCCCAGCTGCTCTGCCCTGCTGGGGCTGTAGCTCGGAGCCTGTGGGCTGAGCCTCATGGTGCCTCTCTCTTTTCCCAGCTCCTGGCAGAGGAGAAGACCATCTCTGCCAAGTAATGCAGAGGAGCGTGACGGGCCGAGGCCGAGGCCCGAGAGAAGGAGACCAAGGTGCTGTCGCTGGCCCGGGCCCTGAAGGAAGCCATGGAGCAGAAAGTAGAGCCGGAGCGGCTCAACAAGCAGTTCCGCTTGGAGATGGACTCATGAGCTCCAAGGGCAAGAGCGTGAGTGCCGGGCCTGGCAGCCAGGGCCTTGGGAGGGGCCCGAGCGGGGTCATCACAGAGGGTCAACGCATACACACGTTCCGGGTCTAGCAGACCCAGGTCCTGCCAGTCTCTTTGCTCCTGACTTGGGCTCTCTGGGGCTCAGATCCATGAGCTGAAGTCCAGGCGGCTTCTGGAGCAGCAGGTGGAGGAGTTGAAGACCCAGCTGGAGGAGCTGGAGGATGAGCTGCAGGACACTGAAAAAACGCCAATCTGCAGCTGGAGGTCAACCTGCAGGCCATGAAGAATCCAGTTCGAGCGGGACCTGCAGGGCCGGGACGAGCAGAGTGAGGAGAAGCAGCAGCAGCTGGTCAGACAGGTGTGCGTGGGCTCCTGCTACCCCACGGTGGCCAGGGTTGCCCTGGCTTCACCCAGGCTTCCATTTCCTCCTTCCACCTGGATTGTGTTAGGGCCCTGGACCACGCCTCCCCTCCCGTCCCTCCTGTCCGGTCCCCTGTCCCTCGGGTCAGCTGACTCACCTTCTTAGAGTTCTTTGAGTCAGTAAGGCCCACTGGCTTCCGGAGGGCCCCGCAGATCCTGCAGGGCACCTGGGTTCAGAGCCAGAGCAGGGTCTCTGAGTGGGTCCAGCTTCCCAAGCTGTCAGTGTTTTCCTTCCTCCAGGTGCAGGAGATGGAGGCAGAGCTGGAGGACGAGAGGGAAGCGGCACTCCATGCAGCGGCACCCGGAAAGAAGCTGGGAGATTGACCTGGAGGCGTGCATCGACTCGAGCCAACAAGAACCTGGGATGAAAGTCATCGAAGCAGCTGTGGAAGTGGCGGGGTAAGGGCGGGCAGTGCCCAGCTGAGCCAGCTACATGTGAGGGCTCTGGGGCGGGAGCCTGGCAGGGTGGCACCTCTTGGGAAGGTCCTGGGTGCTTCCAGCCCTCATCTCACTAAGGGAGACACAGGCTCAGAGGTGAGTGGAAACAACAGTCCAACAGCAAACTTGCAGATAGGTGCATGGTGAGTACATGAAACACAGAAGCAAACAGGCAAGTGCAGGCCAGGCATGGGGGAGTTCAGAAGGCCTCACCCAGTGCAGTACTCTCAGCATCAGCTGCGTCCTGACGCTCCAGCCTTCTGGGCTGCCGGCAGTGATGGTTCCAAGACGCAGCCTAGAGTGTGGGATACATACTTGGAAATTTTCACCTCCCAATAATTGAAGAATAATGAACACATAAAAACAGCTCTGATATGTCATATCATGTAGCAAGAATAACCGTAGGTTTAAAACACATTTGAGTCAGAGTCTTGCTGTTTTTGCCCAGGCTGGTGTGCAGTGGCGCAAATCTTGTGTCACCACAACCTCTGCCTCTTGGGTTCAGGCGAGTTCCTGCCTCAGCCTCCGGAGTAGCTGGGATTATAGGTGCGTGTCCCCATGCCTGACTAATTTTCGTATTTTTAGTAGAGATGCAGTTCACTCTGTTGGCCAGGGTGGTCTCAAACTCCTGACCTCATGATCTCACAGCCTCGGCCTCCCAAAGTGCTGGATTACAAGCATGCATCACCATGCCTAGCCTTCATGGGGCCTTTTTTTAAGCACCAGTAGTCAGTTTTGGATGTGAATTTTCTGCGTGTGGTAGTAGGTCCCTGTCTGTGCACCGGCTGTGGTTCACCTGTGTACCCACTGTGGTGTCACCTGTTTTACGAGTTGGATCAAAAGGTGGCATTTTACACTTTTCTGCGTTTCTTGTTGTAACTGTTTCCTGTTCGCCTGAACTCTGTGTGCTGCTGTTGTGTATGAAGATGTCTGACCACTAAATATTCTGTGGGAAGATTGTTTTGAGAGCGGACCTGTTTAGCTGAGCTGTGGCTCCCAAGGCTCCGCCTTGTTTTGGTGGGAGCAGCCAGGCGCCTGATTTCCCTCTCGAATTTGCTGTGGGATTTGTGTGCTGTGCTGTGGCCTCCCTGGCCAGGCCCCACTGACTCTGCCTCTGCCTCTGCCCCAGGCGTGGGGACCTGCCGTTTGCCCCAACGAATGCTCAGACGGGTGGATGGCAAAGCAGATGGAGCTGAGGCCAAACCTCCAAATAAGCCTCCTCTCCTGCAGCCTCAGATGGACAGGCGGACCACTGCAGCCTCTTCTTCCCAGACCCTGCCGCACACCTCCCTTGACCTTGGGACTGTTGTGAACGTGCCTCTTACCCGCATCCCATCTTTCTTCAGGCCCGAGGGTAGTTTACCTGCACAGTTGATTCAGCATGGGTAAAAAATCTGCCACCTGCACAGATATTCTTGAAAGCAGAAAAAAAGGTTTTCTTTTAATAAAATCCTGAGGCTTTCTCACTGCCTTTCTTTAGAAGAGAGTAGCTTGTCCTCACGGGTCTACATTGGTTGCCGAATTTACCTGTATTCCTAACCGTTTTCTATATGCTGCATTGAGCCTACGGCAAGAAGGCATTTTTTAAAAAAAGGAACAAAACTCTCAAATCATGAAGCGATATGAAAACTGCATATGTCTACAAAGCTCTGAATTCAGGTCCCAGTTGCTGTCACAAAGGAGCGGGTGGAACTCCCGCCCTCCCCCGTCTATATAATAAAAATTTCTGAGCATGTGTGGCAGCAGTCACCACTGCAGTAAGCTGGTCTACAGATGTTTCCCACCGAACACCACAGTAAACAGTGCCATGTGCTACCAGCTGTGTCTGTAGCATTTGTCTGTGGCAGGGGGGGCCCCGGATGGGACTGGGCCTCGCTCCTGTGGCCAGTGCCAGCTCTGCATTGTGAGGGAGCCAGACTGGCTGTTGCGTAGGCGGGCTAGCTGTGGGCAGTTGCGCAGAAAAGGAAAGGTGGAAAGGTGGGCCGGGCCAGATCTGAGGAGGCTAAGAGTATCTTAGAAACCTTGGTTTAAGGCTGGCATGGTGGCTCACGCCTATAATCCCAGCACCTTGGGAGGCCTAGAAAGGTGGATCACCTGTGGTCAAGAGTTTGAGACCATCCTGGCCCACATGGTGAAACCCTGTCTCTATTAATACAAAAATTAGCTGGGTGTGGTGTGTGCCTGTAATCCCAGCTACTCAGGAGGCTGAGGCAGGAGAATCAGTCTAACCAGCGAGTTGGAGGTTGCAGTGAACCAAGATCATGCCACTGTACTCCAGCCTGGCAACAGAGCCAGACTCTGTCTAAAAAAAAAAACTGGATGTGGTGGTGGCAGGTGCCTGTCATCCCAGGTACTGGGAGGCTGAGGCAGGAGAATTGCAGTGAGCCAAGATTGTGCCATTAAACTCCAGCCTGAGCAATGGGAGCAAAACTCCATCTGGGATAAAAAGAAACCTGGTTCATTTCAGTTCTGAGCACCTACTAAGTGCAGCACGCTAAGCTTCGTTAGGGATAGAGGCACAAAATGGGCCCAGACCCTTACATGGGGATCTTTCCTACTCTGAAGAACACACCTGCTCTATGGAGGTGCAGCCCGGTGTGCTGCGGATGCCCAGTGGGGATTGGAAGCTCTTCATAGGACTGACAAGGTTTTGTTCATCCTTTCAATGAAGCCTGAGCGTAACCAGCCCCTTGCTAGGTGCGGGGAGTAGGAGGGCAGTGAAGGCAGATGCCCCTGTGATTGGTTGCAGGGAAGAGGCTTTCCTTGGAGAAGGCTGTGGCATTCTCGGAATTGTGCATTTGGCTGGTAGGGTTTGCTAGGGAAACCTCGTGCTGCTACACAGGACACCGTTCAGGCCTCCGACAAACCTGTGCAGCCTCTGAGCAGGTGCCCTTTCAGCCCCTGGGCAGGGAGGAGGAAATGATGGGAGAGCTGCTGAGACCGGGCACTGGAGAGCTTTGTGTGCTTCTCTTTCCCTTCAATAACATTGGAGTTTCAGGCTACAGAGTCGGTTCCACACTTGTTATACACCACACACTTCTAGGTCAGGTTCCAGCTCCACCACTTCCTGTCACACTGGGCAAGGGGCTTTGCCTCTGTGCTTATTTCTCACTATGGCTCACGTTTCAGGGGTCGGCTTTGGTGGCCTGAGGTTCGAATGCCCTTCTGCTTTCTCCTGTGCACAAGGGTAGTTCATCTGCACCATTGACACAGAATAGTTTAAAAATCTGACGGGGCACAGTGGCTCAGGCCTGTAATCCCAGCAACTTTGGGAAGCTGAGGCAGGTGAATAATCTGAGATCAAAAGTTTATGACCGGCCTGGTGGCCAACATGGTTAAACCCCTTCTCTGCTAGAAATGTAAATTAGCCAGGCATGGCAGATGCCTATAATTCCAGCTACTCAGGAGGCTGAGGCAAGAGAATTGCTTGAGCCCGGGAGGGGGAGGTGGCAGTGAACATTGCAACTCCAGCCTGGTGACAAGTGAAACTTAAATAAATAAATGAATGAATGAATGAATTAACTGCCACTCACTGAGATATTTTTGAAAGAAAAAAAATATTCTCTCCCTTTCTTGTTATAAATGATAAAATTCCAAGGCTTTCTCACTGCCTTTCCTTTCAAACCATGTTTAGAAGAGTGTAGTGTGACAAGCTCAAAGCAAATATTTGTTATCACCTAATTTGTCAGTGGGATTTAGGTGCTATCTGCTCATTGTCTCCACTGAGTGAGACACCCTGTTGGAGGGAGAATGGCCTTGGTGGGAGCACCTTCAGTTAACTTCCATCTCCAGATAACTCAAGCAGACAGCATGAGATGCTATTTTTTGGCCAGGCGAGGTGGCTCACACCCGTAATTCCAGCACTTTGGGAGGCCAAGGCGGGGATCACCTTAGGTTGGGAGATTGAGACAACCCCGACTGAACATGGCAAAACCCCTCATCTCTACTAAAAATACAAAATTAGCTGGGCGTGGTGGCCCGTGCCTGTAATCCCAGCTACTCAGGAGGCTGAGGCATAAGAATTGCCTGGAACCCAGGAGGTGGAGGGTTGCAGTGAGCCGAGATCGCGCCATTGCACTCCAGCCTGGGTAACAAGAGCGAAACTCCGTCTCAAAAAAAAAAAAATAATGGTAAGTTATATTTTCCCAGTGAATGGACTTTAATAGCAGCACTGTCTCTAAATATCACCGTTCCTCCTCAAGCCGAGTTAGTCTGCTCATGTATAGAGCCCCAGGCTCACATCCGGCTGGGTATTTATCTGTCATCTCCCTTCTCATCATTCTCAACCTTTATGCCTCTTGTAAGCTCACACGCGGGCTGACTCCAACCCCACTTTACCTTCTAAGCTCTATGTCATGAACAAGGTCCTATCTTTTTTTTTGTGAGACAGTCTTGCTCTGTCACCAAGCTGAAGTGCAGTGGCGTGGTCTCAGCTCACTGCAACCTCTGCTGCCCGGGTTCAAGCAATTCCCCTGCTTCAGCCTCCTCAGTAGCTGGGACTACAGGTACATGCCAACATGCCAGGCTAATTTTTTTGTATTTTAGTAGAGACAGGATGATCTTGATCTCCTGACCTTGTGATCCACCCACCTTGGACTCCCAAAGTGCTGG